CAGATACAACATGTCCGTTCTTGCCACAACGGAAACACCTCTTCACTTCAGTAGTGCACACATTACTCTTGTGCCTAGATTTTCCACACTTAAAGCAAACCGCACCAGCAGGAGCATCTCCCCCACTAGTCCTCTGACTCTGAGAAACTTTCTGTTTACCTTTACCAGCTGGGGTATCATAAGGCTTACCATGATTCTGTTGGTGCTTACCCCTCTTCTCACTGATAATCTTTTAATGAGCATTATTATCCTCCTCATAAATCCTGCAACTATCAACCAAATCAGCAAAGACACGAATCTTCTGGTATCCAACTTCCTTCTTGATCTCCGAGCACAACCCATTCTCAAACTTGATACACTTCGAAAACTCAGCATATGCCTCAGCGTAATGCGGATAAAACTTAGCCAACTCAGAAAACTTGGCAGCATACTCAACAACCGACATATTTCCTTGCTTCAGCTCAAGGAACTCAATCTCCTTCTTACCACGAACATCTTCAGGAATGTACTTCCTCAAAAATTCCCTACGGAACACAGCCCAAGTGACATTCTCACCTGCAGCTTCCAACTTCTGACAAGTCTCTAGCCACCAGTCATCATCCTCTACTGCCAGCATATGAGTACCATAACGAACCTTCTATGCTGGAGTGCAGTCCATCACACTGAAGATTCTCTCAATCTCTTTCAACCACTCCAATTCTCCATCAGGATCATACTTTCCCTTGAACGTAGGTGGATTCTCTCTCTGGAAAGTCGTCAAGCTACGAGATCCAGCATTCCCGTAAGCATTCAGCTGATTTTCCATCGCATGAGCCATTGCTTCTAAAGCAGCAGAAAGTGCAGCATCATTCCTTCCAGCCATCTCAACTTATCACTACAACATAAATAATTGTTAGAACTCAAATTAACAATACTCGATTGTTAGACAACTACGAATTGACGACAAGGTCGGACCAACCTTTTGCTCTGCTACGAACTTTTGTAACACCCCAATTCTACCCTGGAAATTATATAAATAAATCAGAGTTATAAAATCATTCATGCAAACGAATCGGGATGCCACAAATTTATCATTAAAAACTCATTGCATTCATCGTGGATATATAACACTTTAAAACATCGGATGAACCATCATCATAACAACTTTAATTAAATAATTCAACATCTACGCAGCGAAATTCTTAATAACATCTTTGTCATCATTACAACAACTTCGAAACAACATAATTTAATAATAATCAACTTAAAGTTCAACGACGGAATTTAATCAACAATCTAAAGCAACAAGCATTCATCCCCCCGAGTGTTACATATCAGAGTAATGACACCGACTCGAACTATTGAAGGTATACAACCTTCACTCTCGATTACCTGCACGTTACCAACATAAGGGCAACATTCAAACAGAAGGGGTGAGATATCTAACAATATAATAAAGCGTATGATAATTAATATATTAAATTAGATCACATAACGTCACCACTTCTCATCTCATAATTAACAATAATCACAACAATAATACACATTCACAACATCAATACACACTTCTTTATGCAATCATATAATGTGACTCAACACTATGCAAATGCATGTGGTACCATTGGAGTAGAAATCCCATCTAAAAAATTTCCAATTAATAGAGGCATCAACAAGGCATAATCCTTCATCTTAATATTCGCCAATAAAGGCCATCTCAACGAGCATAAGATCCATATCAAAATGCAATGTATGCGACATAATCATGAATGTAATAACAACACCATAATTGACAACATCTCAATGCAACACCATCGTTGGCCAAAGGCCTACATCTCAAAAGCATCTCATCATCTCTTCATCAACATCATTCATCATAAATCATTACACATCATATATACATCATAATCCATCAAACAAAATCTCATTAACATCATCTCATCAACAATTCATCCGTACAGTAATACAACATCACTCATCATTTTCACAACGTTGGACATAGGCCTACAACAAGATATTGCCTGTAATAAGTTAATCAACTAAGGCTTACTTATAAATCACCAAATTTCTACATACTACTATTCTGTAATATTACATCGTTATTATTATTAATCCTACTGTTAACAATCAAACAGCAGCCTATAAGCATCTCATCTTCATCATTCTGCATAAAAAATAACACATCGATCTACATGGTAACTAATTCAAATCTTATGGTTATCCTTCCTATTCCTCATTTTAATCCTTAAGAATAAAGCTAATCGCGTTATCTATTCAACGCTTCGAACGACACCTCAAATGGCATCCGAAAACTCAAGTTACAGCCTTTTCTAAACGATTCTACCAAAAACCAGACAACATGGATCGACGCGTAACGTCTTGGATCGACGCATAATGCACTGAACTCGCAACATGATTCGATGCATCACTCCCTTGTATCGACTCATACTGAGTCTTCCTCAAAGCATGTATCGACACATGCTCCTACGTGTCGACTCATCCTAAGTCTAAAAGTCCTCATGTATCGACGAAAGACCTCTTCGTGTCGACTCATACTGAGTCTAAAAGTCCTCATGTATCGATGCAATACCTCTTCGTGTCGACTCATCCTGAGTCTCTAAACCTTCTTGTATCGACACATCATGTTTGGGGTCGACGCATACTGCTCTGTCCTACATAATTTCTGCGATTTTCTCTGCGTTTTCACTATGGGTTCCATATTTAAAGCCCTAAAAACCTAATCTAATCATAGATAATCATCACTTATAGTTATCCTACAATTCTACATCAAATAAACAGTATCGGAACATCATCGTTCATCTTTCAATCATCAATTTCCATCATACAACATCATATGCATTCAATTCATGAACAAGACAACAATCACCTCTAACCCCATAAACTAATTATCATGAACCCAATTATAGAGTTAGAACCCCACCCTTACCTTGGATTGAAGGTTGCTTTATAACTTTATCCAATTGAATTCCCGTTCTTCCGTTCTTCCTCTTCTCCAACAGCTTCACGTTCTTCCTCTCAAACCCTTATTCTTCTACTGCTTCTTCTTTCTATTCCTTCTAACAATAATAAAATAACCTATTATTATTTATTACTTATTGGGCTTAAAACTAACACACCCCCCTTATTACTTCCATTCCTTTAAAACAAGCCCACATAAAATAATATTATACTTCTAATATTATTTCTCCACTTAATAAAATAATTAAATCCAATTAATCACAACATATCTTCACAAATATTCCAAAATAATTTAATTAAATAATTAATTAAGTTACGGGCGTTACAACTAACATACATTTGCATTCAATAAAGTGCCTGAGGTTCAAAGTTCATTGGTTGTGTGAGCTAGGGTTTTCATAGTGTTTTGAGATGCACGTATCAAATAAGGATGATTCGTCTGTTTCTCTTCCGAGCATTGAAATTGGAAAATTAGGGTTTCAATCCCTGGTGCTTAAACTTGACATCAGTTCAACTAAAGATACTATAAATTAGGGTTTGGTATTCATGGATATCCTGAGTATCTCTCAAGTTGATATTCATCCAAAGGGTTTCATTACTATAATTCAAGTCTTATCATCCTCAGGGTCTTCCTCGAGAAATTTATTCTATAGTTGGTGATTTTCAAAGTTAGGGTGCCTTGTAGATTGAATTGCTAAAATCTTGGGCCACGGTGCAAGATATGAATTTATAAACTCATTTGGATTAAGGCAATTTTGATTCTCATCATTGTTAATATGTTGCTTGTAATACAAGTTGGCTTGGAATTGAGATTGATTGGGAATAATTGATGTGAATTTATTGATGGGTTAGTATTCATTCAAATTGTCTAACATGTTTAAGTGAATTAGATTTTCTTAAGCTTGCAACATTATAAAGTGCAAAAGCAAGATATAAAGCGTGTCAATTCCAGAAAAAGAATTATCACGTTGCTTCTAAATCAACTTCATCAAAGTTCTATGCATCATCGAGATTTTTTGCTTATTTGGGCTATGGATCGAATGCCATTATTCTATTTGGTGTGCACTATTGCTTTTAAGCATAAAACTTTCTTTCAAGAACTAGAGCACCAAATGAAGGGATTGGTGCAAAGTGGGAACATTAAATAAAAGATGCAACTTGGAGAATTCTTCATTTTTTAATTTCAAAGAAGTGGCAATTGCAAGAAAAAAAATCCAAATTCAATTTCTAACCATTTCACCACATCATTTCAAAAGTCCAACGTCAACTGTTATTTCTCATGAGGAAATCCATACAATAATCTATTCCAATTCCAAATTTCATTACACCTAAAGCATTACAAATAATTACATTCAAAAACCTTCATGTTATCATTACATATGGGGAACTATTGGCAAAAGAAAAGAATTTTACAAATTAAGTTCATGGCTAAGTTCCTAAGTCCTATCCTGATCTTCAAACAACTTCATCAATTCTTATGGTCCAAATTCTTTCAATGGTCTCTCAATACACATGCCTCCTTAATCAAGCTAATTCACTATAAGCCAATCCCCAAAACCTGACTTCAGTTTAAAAATACAGAAAGGTACAACATGAGAAATCAGTTCAGAAAATATTCATAAAATCAAAACAGTCCAACAATAAACCTGTCATAGTCAGTTCATGAAATTAACCAAAAACAAGTTTGCAGAAACATCAAAAAAATCGAAAATCCAAATCAGAAGGAGAATCAGGAAAATGTAAGGAGAAATCAGGAGTAGGGAAAACATGTAACAAAAATAATCAAAAAATCAGAATAATTTTTCAGAGCAAACAACAATATAAAAACCTCTAATCAGTTTTAATCCCTACCATCCAATTCCATAACAAACTATTAGAATACACAACTTAGATGTAATTCCCCGATAACCAACTCCTAACTAACTTTCTATCAAGCTAACATAAATATATAACAGAAAACTCACCAGAATCAATTCATTCTTCAATATTAAGAAGAATCATCAAAAATATCAGAAGAAAGCTCTCTCCCTCTTCAATCTTCATCTATGAAAATCTCTCTTTCTTCTCCTCTCTTCATTGTTCATCACCTTCAATTCCCCACTGAACTTCATCTAGACGCATCAATTTGTACCACAACATCATCCTCAACAATCTGTAAGTATCACCATCTCCACCATAATATTGTCAAGCTTCCTCATCACACAGCAAGATTCATCATCATCAATCTTCATTGCACCTTCCATCAGCAATAACTATTTTGAATCTGCGACAATAATAATAGCGTCTTCATTATTGATTCGTCATCATAATAACTTTTTCAATCGCGATTATCACAACATAGACGCACAAGAAAATGTAGAAATAAAAGGAAAAATCGCGAAGAAGAGTAGAAGATGTTAGAACATAGTTTGATTCTACAACCCTCGTAAGAGTTTTGATGATAACAAACACAAAGAACAATTATGCACTCTAAAATTATATTCTATTTTGTAGAGAAATTCTGATGGAAGCAGATCAGAAGTTAAGCTACAAGGATGTTCCTGCTGTGAACGTAGACTATTCTCAGAAAGTTCTGATGATGAAGATCAGAAGTTGCGCTAAGAGCAAGACATTTTAACTCTAAAAGAAAGTCTAACGCTGCAAACAGGACCTTATGATTCTGACCTTCCAAAGTTCTGAAGCAAGCAGCAAACAAATTCCTTAATGTTATGAAGCATTACTATTCATCAAAGTTGTATCAATTGCAACGACTATAAACAGATAAGGAACTTTTATTTGAGGAAAGTGAATTAACTGACATTTATCAAGTTTCCAAATACTCAAGATTGCTGCACCTATTCAAAAAAGGGATGGGGATAAATCACTTACAATTTTACACACTACAATTTATAATAATTCAACGCTGCTACTCCTAATTCATATTATTCTTTAAATTGTGTAATACATCGCAAGTCTGTGATACTGTTTTTGTAAGGAAAAACATATTGTACACTACTTTATTCGTATTTTGTTTAGTGCAATTCCTTGAGATATACCGGGTTATGGTTATACTCACAAGACTTTGGAAGTTGTCAAAGTAGATTTGTAATCAAGTTTGATTAGTGAATTAAGACCTCGTTGGAGAGAGGCAAAATCACCTTGGCGGGTGGACTGCCATAGTTTGAGATCAAACGAACCAGGATAAAAATCATCGTGTCATTTGCATTGATTTTTAAGATCCCAATTCAACCCCCCCCATTCTTGTGTTTTTCAATTCTTCAGAAGAAAAGAAAAGTTTACCTGAAGTTTTTCTCCAAAAAATGCACTATAATAATTGAATGTGTCGTCGAGATTGTAAACTCCGTTAGGGTTTCATATCTGTTCAGATTCAGAATGTCTGGTTAAGGATAGGAGGAAATTGAGACCAAACTACCGATGACAGATGGAGATGAAGCGGACATGTTCCACGTTGGTATGAGAAGATGAAGAAGATGACACCGTGATGAGCGCGTCACCAGAGAGGATGATTCGAGTTTGGCCGCATTTTGCAACAAGGTAAGAAGGTTGAGACGCCGGTGAAGTGGATGATTTTCTTACGCCGCGGCGGAAATGAGAGAGACGGAATCAGATCACGATTGAATGTCAATGAGAGAAAAGTGTATGGATGTGACAAAAATGAAGAAGAAGATGGAACCGGTATTGCACTGCCGGTGAAGCTTCAGAGAAGAAGAAGACAACTTCACATGGAATGGGGAACGTCACAAACCCTCCTCAACCCTATCTCCTCAATACGCCACTGTTTGCCCTTCTTTGCTAGTTGATTGTTTTTTTTGTTGTTTTTTTTATTGATAATTGGAATAATATAAATTGTTGATGATGTTATTTGATCATGTGGACTGGATCACCTCCCTCATAAGCCCATCATATGCATTTTTGTGAAGCCTGCAGAGATTGGAACAAAAAGATAGCTTATTGGATTTTCCTGCAATGGGCCTAACATCATTTTTTTGTTGATTTAGTTGCTTGTGAACAAAAAACAGGGTCATGGATTCAATCTGATGGGCCCTAGCGCTCTGCTTCTGCACACTCCCTTCATTCCAGTATGCAACCCCCCTCAGACCTCTTTTTCCTATTTTTATAGTTTCTTTTGAACTATTTTGATAATTGTTTAGATTTGTTTGAAATTTTTCTACACGTGATGAAAATAATCAAATCAATAAAATTTGTTAGATTTTTTTATTTTTATTTTTAAGAATTGATTCAGGATTATCTGATTACTTGAGATTTGTAATTCATCTTTGCTTGTTGAGATCTGAGTCTTATGCAAGTTTATCGTGTGATATGCTGATATGCTTGAGATTCCGATGGTGATTTATTTTCACACCGACAATGCTTTGACACTTATTCCAAGCATTTGATTTCTGACTCGTCTCTGTTGCTTGGTGAAGCTTACTCTAAGTTTTTCTGGGTTTCTCTGTTTTGCTTGCTGTGCTATGAACTTTTGTTTGTTTGGTATTTTATCTGGTTTATCTCATTTCATCACTTTACTGCTTTCTAGATATCATGATAAGTAAGAAATAAAGAGCGTGCGCTCGAAGTCACTATTTAAAGTCCTGTAGCAGACACCGCTTTCTGTATGCTAATTTTGGTTGTTTAAAGCCCTATCTTTGAATAGGAAATTCCGCACGTGTGTTTATTTTCTTGCATGTTTCATTTCATTCTCGGTATGAGTTTAACATTTGGATACTTGGACTTGGATTCATTCTCGGTATGAGTTTGTTCCAAGTGGATTCAGTTTTGGTTCATACTCTGACGGGTGTGTTCCCTTTACTTTACTGATTACAATTATGTCAAAATTACAAAAAAGGGAAAGAAATATTGATTGATGTGCGCTTGTTTCATACCTGGATGAGGTGTTCCTTTTAGGCTTTGTTTGGTTCACTCTCGAGATGATTTTGTTCCCCATTTATTTTACTTGTTTCACAAGCATAAAATAAATACTTAGATGTTATTTTCCAAGTTCATACCCAAATGGGATGTTCCTCAAAGGCCATCTTTTGGTTCATTCTCGGGATGAGTTTGTTCCTTTATTTGTTTTTCTATGCGCTTATCTACTTGTACATATTATATTTTCTCTCTTACATTGCCATGTTCCCTTAGGCTTTAAACCGTTGTATATCCCCTTAGGATTGCTCGATTAGAGTAGCTTTCGAGCTACACATAAGGATATGTATCCATGCATGTTAAAATAGGGTAGAGATTTCCCCTTCAAAACTCAAACTTAGGATCAATCATTGTATGATAACATTAGCGATAAAACTAGATAGTCTCTGTGATACGGTGGGAGAACTGACTTGAGGTTTTGCATTTCGTCGCAAATGTCGCGGTTTAGAAAGAGTCGCCACCGACTTTTATTTTATCCAAAAGGAAAGGTAAAAAAGCACAGGAAAGACCTTTGAGATGTTTTCTTGAATTCGGGGGGTAGATTATGAAAAGAGAAGGTGCTAGCACCCTTTTCATCCATGGTTTTCCATGGGCTCTTAGTTACTTGTTTAGATCACTTGCTTTGCTTTTGAAATTGTTTGAAATGGTGCTTTGTGTTTGGTATGATTTTAAAAGTATTTTGAAAAGAGGCCTTTGTTTAGACAATATTTGTAATGATTCTCGTTCGTGAGAATGTATACAAAGATGTTTGTCTTTTGAAAAATGTTTCAATGTTTTTGAAAGGTGTTTGAAAATGTTTTGAAATGTGTGTTTGTTTTGAAAATAACAAGGATTGTTTGGAAGAGAGCAAGTAACTTATAACTATCTACCCTACTCAAATGTCTTTCCTATGCATTTTTATTCCTTTGACATTGTTGATTTACCATTGATTTGGTAAACAACCCTATCTTTGGATGTTAAACGGGACGGGCATGGGTCATCGTATGACCATGATAGCAATGTTTCCAAGTATCTTTAGCATTTTGAGGGACCAAGACCATTTTGTTTAGGAAACCTCTTGATGGCGTCATCGAGGGATTATGATCTTTTGTTTTGTTTTGTTTTGCCAAGATACTTCGCATGCATACCATGGCCATTTTTGTTTAGGCAACCAAGTGGGTGAAACCTTAGGGGTGCTTGTGTGCAATGTGTGTCATTTTACATGCTTTTAATTATCTTGGATTAGGTCTTTTCTATTTGTTTGATTTTGGTCTTATCATGCAAAACCCTAATTTACTACACATGGTATAATGCGATAAATTACGTAAAAGTAAACTAAGCTATTACAACAATTATTACGGGAGGGGGGATACAAGTTTTTGAATGGGGATATTGCACAAATATAAACCTTAAAATACTATTACAACCCAATTGAATTATTGTGAAAATTAAATAAAAATACAAATAATAAAAATGCAATAAAATGTAACTATGCAAAAATGTTTTGTATTTGATTTTTGTATGAGAAAAAATGATTTATTTAAGCCCTAAAAATAAGAGAAAAAATATTATTATTTTTGAAAGGGTGAAACCCTAGTTTTTTATTTAAAAGAAAATATATATTCTATATTATCATTTTGTCTATTTTTGTACAAGTAAATAATAAATAATATTATGTACAACTATTAAAAATTAAAATATGTATGAAAATAAATATTTTATATGTAAAATAATAAAATAAAAATAGATAGTATTTTTTATTATTTACAAGTTATTTTAAGAAAATGATTCCTATTTTATTTAAATAAACTATTTTTATGCAAAAAATAATAAAAAAATAAAATAAAAATGTAAAAGTCAATAAAATATTTTTGGGTATTTTTTATCATTAGAAAAAATAAATGCAAGTAATAAAATAAAAATATGCAAGAAAAATGCAAAAATGTAAGAAATAAGCCAGGGGGTGCAAAAGAAAATCAGGGAGTGTGAATAACAAAAATAAACATGCCCAATGCGCCAAGGCCCAGATCATCAGCTTCGTCCCTGTCCTTGGCTTCTTCCTTGCGCGCGTTTCTGCCTTCAAACTGTAACTTGCTATTGCTTGCATAAAATCAAAACCTCATAACATAAAACATGTAGCTTGTAATCTCACGATTCCAATGATATAAAATTTGTGACCTAACTCTCAAAGATCAGAGAGAATTTTATAACCCCTAATTTCTGACCTAATTTTTTCAGCATGTTCAACATTCAAATTCTCTTAGCTCAGTTAATATAAATGACAATTATGCATATGCACAACTTCACCATGCTAAAGACTACATTTTTGCTTCACAAATCGTGGCTTGAGGATGCTTAAATAGAGAGATAGAGTTTTGAAAAATACCTCCTTCAGCTGGATTTGGATATGGCAATATGGGGATATTGAGTGAGGCCTAAGGATCGTTAGAGCTTCCTTGAAGTTCCCTCAAGCTATTCCAATGCTTAGTTGGCTTTATGGATGGCTGAAACTCCCTGTAGAAGTCAAGCTGCAACCTTACAAAGTGAAAATGGCAAAGGCTGAAACAGAGCACACAATTGCAGGATGATTGCTTGGATAGTTTTGGTAGGATGTATGGAAGGTGTTTGAAGTGTTACAAGGCAAAACGCACGAGCAAATATTGAGCTTGCTATGATTTTGCAGAAACTGCAATATTGGGCCAAAAATTTGGAGTTTTGGAGTTTTGGAATGTTTTCAGAGGTCAAGCATTCGTGTCTAGCCTTGTGGTAAGTTTGTGAAGATGTCTAGCATGATACTAAGTCCACCCTTTATCAGATGTACAAGTTCTTTGGACTTTTGCAACTTTTTTTGCTTTTGAAGAAAAGTGAAGTGACTTGTGCCAAAGGCATGTACTTGCTTGCTTGTGGGCTACAGAGAGTTGGTGAACAATGCTTGATATCTGTGGAAATTTCCTATACCAAAGGAACAAGTCCAAGGCTCAAGGCTGATAAAGTTGGAAAAGCTTGCCTTTATGAAAATGGCAATGTGCACTTTTGGCCATTTATGGAATTATTTCTTGTACAATGCTCCAAAAGCCAAAATAAAGCCTTTAACCACTGAGTTAGCATTTAATTATGGAGTGTAGAAGGAGTTTAGGACATGTGATGCAAGGTACAAGCATGCTTGATCAGATTTGCAACTTGATGCATTGTGAAAACGGCTTGCACAAAAGTGATAAAATGCCAATTTCTCTTCTTCAATTCTCCCTAACCACAAATGATCTTGGAGAGTTCTTGGACATTTTGGAAATCTTGAAACATGCTCTACAATCCATCTTTGAAATGCATTTTGATATACCTCGTGGAACTAGGTGAAAAATGTCCATGAAGTTGGGTAAAAAACCTGCCTAAATTAGGGCAAATTTTCACTAAGTTATTTAGTTCATAGACCCCTATTCACAAATTCATAAAATGAGATCCAAGCATCTTTTGGGAAAACTTTATGAAGCAAAGTTGTATATTTCATGGAGGACTACAACTTTCATGTTGGAAGTTTTCTTTGAATCAAATTGCATCATGGTGAAAAAGTGGTGAAACGTTAGGAAAAAATAAGAAATTTTCCATACTTAGAAAAATTCTAAGTTATGAAAAATTTTCAAATTAAAACCCTAATTTGCAATTTTAGGTTTCTTGGTCAACAAGTTTCAAATTTTGACATATATTGATAAATTATGACCTTTGGCACTTGATTTTGACCAAAAGTCAAAGTTTGACTTTCAGTGCACAGTTGACTTTTGATTAGTTGACTGCAAAATTCATCTGTCAATCCTATGTACTTGAGATCTTTTGAACCATGTAATTAGGTCAAGATGATTCCATTGAATCATTGAAATCATGTTTGAACCCAATTGGTCATTGG